ATGAGTTTTGGATCAGCAGGTAGGGTGTTAATATGTCTGTTATAAGATTTGCAATTGCTAGCTATGTTGTTGCAAAGTCAAGATTTTTTTGTATTCTTGCAAAGCCTGCTAGTTAGAAAATATATCTGGTAATTTCCCAAGCATTTAGGGTATTGAAGTCTAGGTTGGTTAAGTAATCCAAAGTTAGTTTGACTCAGAGTAATTTAAAAATTTGGTCTCAGTTTTTCTTATTTGTAGCTAGAACATCATAATGTTTTTTGTATATATCTAGTGCTTTGAAGAAGAGGTTATTAAACTTGTTTTGGTGTTGTGGCCTAGCTGCTGTGACTTTAGTAAAGCTTCTAAAAAAGGCTGTATCCCAATGAAAAAATTTTGCAGTTATTGCAGTTGGAATATAGTTGGTAGTAGGTTTTGTTGTAAGCTTGTATTTAACTAGTTCTTTAAGATCTTGAAGTGAGGTTAGTGCATTTATGATTTTTGGGCAAGTTCAGATTGTTGCATTAAAGGGTTCAAGTCTTTCCTGTCTGATTTCTTTTAGAACTGTTTGGACACATTTTTGCTATTCTTTCTCTTTGTCACTATTGTAGTACCTATTTGGGATTTTTCTAGTTTGATTTGGAAGATTGTTGTTGACTGCTTGGCTATATAATATTTTTGTTTGTGGCTATTTATCTAATACTTGTCAATAGAATGGGTTTCATCTTTTTCTTCACTGTTTAGGTTGATCATGTGCTGGTCTATTTTTATATCGGGTAAGTTGTCTAATGGTTGATTGAACTCGGGGTCTTGTTCTAGTAGGGTCGAGTTGTTTATACTATGTTGTTCTGTTATGAGAGGCACCGTGTTAAGGGTTTTAAGTCATGCCGGTGTGAAAAGTCCGGTCTAGTCCCGACGCAACTCCGGAAGTCGAGTCTTAATTTGAACCACCCCAATGTTTCGTGTACTGATTGCCAGACATTATTAATAGTATTTATATTATGTTGCCAGACGTTATTTTATTTGATGTAGTGGCATCATCTGGTCTGATATGGCGTATAACATCTCTAAATACTGGTTCTCATAATTGTGCTTTTTATTTAGAATATAAAGTAAGAAAAAAAAATTGAACCAATATCCAAAAATTGTTCCCTCATGTGATTTTTGACCAACCAAATTCCAAGATCAGGTGCAATGTAAACAATCGAAGTGAAACTAAAAAAAAAAAAACAGAAATAAATCGAAATTTTAATTAAGAAACTACTTCCTGCGGTCTAATTAAAATGTTCTCGTGAAATTTACTTATAGGAACTCTATCTTCCTAACCCTAACCCAAACTATAATGTTGTATTCTCAGTAAAAATTAGAGTAAACAATTTTTGTGGGTGCGCTATCTAAGATATTAAAGCACCCTCCATTAATGCGCATAGAAGAGGTCACATTTTTTTACCTTCATAAGTGCACATACTAGAAACGTAAATGTATGGTTTATTGGCAAATAAACTGAAAGCAAAATCTTAAAGCTGATTGGATTATACATAGGGTACGGGACGGGTCAGGTTTAACCCGTAATTTTGCAGGTCGGGCTGGGTTCAGACCCGGGTCGGGTTCAAATTATTGACCCGTCATAAATCGGGTCAGGTTCAGGTCGGGCCTATTAAAGTAACGGGTCGGGTTCAGGCTCTGTTCATTGACCCGTAAAGCCTGATCAAACCCAATATAATTTTAAAAAAATTCTTACCCGGGAATTATACTTTGAGCAGAAATATAGTTGTTAGATGAAACCTTAAGGTTTTGTGCTGATGAAACGCGTAATCTAGGTTCGTCTTTCGTCAATACCAGGAACGGAGTGAAACGAAGTGTATGGTTATATGCCAAGTGAAAAGGTGTATCCGAATCCGTGTATCTGATTGGATTGCGTTTTAACATGATTTAGTTACTGCATTGTTATACTGCATACACCTGTATTTTGTTAGTTCTTGCATACATTTACGCCGAATAAAAACTGTGATACGAATGTATTGTTCCGAAAAGACCGAAAGGCCCTTTCCAGAGGAAGAGACAATAATAATGGTTCTGGCAATAAAGACCAATTGGTCTTTATTGTCGGAAGGGCCATTATTGTTTAAAAGAATAGAATAGACCAAATAGACTGTACAGACAGTTGAAAATATTATTATAAATAAAGGCTGTTTTGGCCCAAGGGAGAAAAAGCTTCACCTCTTTACGCATTTGAAAAAAAAGAGTCCCTACCTAATACTAACACATAAGTCACCAGTATATGTCATAAACTATATTCGTTCATTAACCATTCGCCAAATTTAACACGTCTCTCTTGAATTCGTATTACCTGGAATTGGAATTTTTTATTGGTCAGTTACCCGATTGCTGACCGAATTCTACTCTCACAACGTCAAACATCGAGATTTTCATAAAAGTCTAGTGTTACTACCAATAAAGTAGTCACATGACATTTCGACCTTATTATTACTATCATTTGAAAGTTCAAAAAGAGCATCTTTTTGATTATTGGCTATAACCTGGAAAAACTAATGCCTGCCGTCATTTGAAGGTCTAAAAAAAGCATCTTTTTGATTATCGACTATCGCTATGGCTGGAAGAATGTAAATTATACTAATGTCTGCCATCATTTGAAGGTCTAAAAAGGCATAGCCTGATTCTAAAGAGAAACTTGATTAATAAATAAAAATTTCAAACAGATTTAAAAGGAATTGTAAACATGAATTTAAAATTTTCGAGTTCATTAAGTCCAAAGAAGCCTGTTATAATAAACTTTCGCTATAACTAGATTTATAAATAATCTGTCTTCATTCATGAACTGGATTAACACAAATAAATAATTAAACAAAGCAATCAAAGGTTGCAGAGTTTTAAAAATATATATACTCACGGGTTAAATAACAAAAAAAACTGATACCCAAATTCAGCTCATCTTTGTTATAGTGAACTCTTGATATAATAAAGAATTTTAAATTATAGAATTATAAAGTACATCTAGTATTTTCGAGCCTAGTATTTTCACGCTTTAATTTGTAGTGGGGACTTCACTATAGCGTGAATGTGTTGTAATCATTTGTTTTATCGTGTTTTCTTGTATTTCTATATATGAGCAACTTTATTTTTTTTGTCGACATATGAATAACAAACGAATATATATAGTTAACTTTCATATAATGAACTGACAGTTCTTATAATAAAATTGTTTTACTATATTCCGGTACCGAACTCTAATAAATATTTTTAAAAAAGGTTCATTATGCTGTTATAGAGCATAGATGCATATAAAAAGAATTCGTTGCAGGAATGACTGCATTGGTGTATTCGAAGGTTAGATTATAATGTAACTGCGCCCTCGAATAGTGGTGATGTTGGTTATAAAGCCTGAAGTCTATTTCTCTAATGTCATGTTTGAATAACTTTTATATACATTTGCATACTAAACTTTACGCTCAGTTGTGATCTAATTATCCATATTCACGTGTTTGCTAATTTAACATATTCTATGTACTCTATTACTTTACTAAACTATACACTACTACTGTTCGTACTACTCTTCAATAATACCATCACCAAAGTTCTACACTAAACTCAATAACCAACAACTTTACTACATAAAGATCTTTAATACAATACAATAATTGTAATAAATTTTGAGCAATCCAATATTAACTTATTATAATTCCATTCTAGAGGTTTAAAAAACTTTATAACTAGGCACTTTTCTGTTCCTGGTTTTGTGTGACAGCATCGCACAGCTATCTTATTAAAATCTTAAATAACAAAATGACGAAACTGATGAAAGGTGTCGAAACTGAATCTATATTAGGAATGGGCAATGTAGTTTTTTATGTAATCGATATATATTTTTAAGGCCTTACATATACTAGGAACGAATGCAATGAGTGTATGGTTTATATACTGTTTACCAAAAATTATGATCGAATTGAAAACTTGAGTGTATGAGACTGAATAAATTTAGTGATGAGATTCGGGCTTAGCATTTAAAGAATAGCATTGAAGCGGTTTAGTTTTAAATTGTATTGAACATAAAGGTGAACAATGCATAAAAGTCTAAAGTAGTATAACTCTAATATAACGTGATGTTAAATGATCGGGTCAGGTTGGGTCGGGTTGGGTCGGGCCGGGTTTTGAATCTGGCCCAGCCCGACCCATCATGAAAAATTTTTATTGGGTCAGGCCCGGGTTGGGTTTTAAATGGGCCCAGGTCAGGTTTGAATGAACCCGACCCGACCCGGCCCGTTCCGTACCTTAGTAACTACAAAGTATATTGTAAAGGTGATGACCTTCCATCAATAAACATGAACAAAATCCCTAAACCATCTGATTATAAAGCTAATAATAAATCTGATTCGGTGTTCTATTGTACTTTTAAAGGTAAGCATCCTGAAAACTATGAGAAGGAACCAACAAACATTGTTTTCAAAAAACTTATTTTAAGTTTCTTTTCACATGCTCATAATCTGGCAAAATATGAAGCAAAATATAGTTGTTTCACAATCAAGTTGAATCGTTAACGTCTCTATTCTCTATTAGATATTAACTGACTTATATTTATTAATCAGTTTTATAATAATAAATATGATAATACATTGTCCAAAAACTGAATACATTTGAAGCTATGGACTCAACTTTCATGTGATTTAACTCAGTGGCCAACATTAATAAAATTTCTACTTAGTAATGATATGTACTAAATTATTAAAACTGTTAAAAATATAACCTTTATATTCATAATTATGTAAGCAATCTTTATATTTATTATAAAAATGAAAAAGTCAAAGTGAATTCTCTATTTAATAAATTGTCATAAAGAATAAAGAAAGTTTTCGAAATATGTGGAGTGATTATTATTTTTATTATAACATAAAACAACATGACTTGATATCATTCTCAATTCCTTTTATTACACCAAAAACTTTATCAAATAAATCCTTCTCTTTACCAATTGTGTCAATATTAATATCATTTAAAACTATGAAATTCTACCATGAAACGTCCATATCACCATCACTTTCTTCTAAGCCATTATTGACCTTATTGTCACTATTTCCTTCGTCATCACTATTTCCTTCACCATTATTGTCGCTATTTTCTTCGCCTTCTTCACTATCATCACCTTTAGTGTCATTATTTCTATGATTTGAGTTGGAACATTCACTAGTATTATCTTCTTCATCATCAACAATAAATGAATATGTGCGAGGCAATGAATGTTCATTAATTGCATTTCTGTTATTGTCAATTTCAACTATTCTTTCATAATTATTTGTTGCTGAAAAGACCTCTTCAAAACTTTTGTAATGTTTTCGAGAAGCCGAAACTTGAATTAATCTAATTTTATTAGAAGATAATATTCTATTTACTGCTTCAAAATCTTTAAAGAGCTTAATTTTAGGGATAGTGAAGAAAAACAAACAAAAAAAAAGAGGATTTAATTACCAATAATATTATTATTTTGAAATAGAAAGAAAATTTCTTCGATAATTTGGCGAAGCTTTCTTATTTCATTCTCATATTGATCTACGTTATGATTATTTATGTTATTTGAATGCGCAATGACTTTTCTTATTGTTTCATTTTCCTTTTTTAAAGCTTTGACCTCTTTCCTTAAGACTTTATTTTCTTTTATTAATAAACTTGTCTTATTTCGAAAATAATCAGCTTTCTTTTCTAAAATATTGTATCAGTTGCTAAATTTCTTAATTTCATTAACCATTTTAACTATTCGAGATTTTAATGCATTAAGAATATCAGTATTATTAAAATACTCATCACTTGAAATTTCTTTTCGTTTTAACTGACATTGATAAAATTGATTTGTTTTTAAAATATAAGTTTTGAAGGTATCTTTAATTTAATCTGGAGTTGAATTGGGTGAACTAAGAATATTTTTTAACCATTTTTTATTTGAGCCTTTTCGGGGCATTTTTTTTGTTTTAGAAAATTTTAATTAGGGAGCGAACATTTATTATATATAAAAATTTGTGTAAAAAAATCTCTCGTGTGTGAACCTATCACTAAAATATTTGCTATTGGTTTATTTGCGACTTTCCTTATTTTATCATAAATTTATTATATGTACATGTCTTCTTAATTTTAAGCTTGGTTATATTATTTTTTATTTAATGCCAATTTTGGTTAAAACCGGTTTTGATTAAAATTCGCTCTCGATTTCTGTCGCTACGTATTCAATAACTGTGAGAACCGGAATTGAAATTTTGATTATATAATGTCAAAACTAGTAAACTTATTGGCCAAGTGACTTTTGCTTTCCATACGTCTTTGGAATCGAAATTACAGAATTATTTTAATTAAAATATGAATAAAACTGTTCCAAATGGTTCCAAACTGTTCCAAACAGTTTCACCTTTGTCATGCCCTGTTTATCATATGCTTGGTTAATTAAGATAGATGACTCTAACACTAATCTTAAAATACAAACAATTGCTACAGGCACAACATCACATGCTTATGGGCACTTCAACACTTCTAATTTACTAAGTTTATTTTGCAACTTAAGCTTCGTGGGATAACGTTAAATGAAGTTTTTATTATTCTCATTTTTCAGAATTGACTGCAACATACAACCTTATTATTAAACTAATATTTACATTATTATTATTGCCTGAAGTGTAACTTAGGACATTATACTTCCAGGCATTTAGATCTGAACAATCACGAGATACATGTCTATCACGCCACGTAATTAGCCAATCACAGATAAAAATTCAAATTTGTCTAATTGGTTGATGTAAATCAATTGTCCGGGTAACTATTATTTAATATCGCAATTAATAAAATTTATTCTGGGTTGCTGAACTTTAATTAGAGTACTTTTTTACATTAAAAATCAATTACCTAATCTTGAAATATATTTGTCGGCTTTAAAATATGTACTGTATAATGCATATTCCTGATTGGAAACCAGTTTATAAATATGTATTGATAACGAAAATTATGCAATTTCATAATTTATCAATAATTTATATACATTACTTTTAAAACCGGAATTGAACTCGTATTAGAGATGTAGTTGCTCGGGAAATGGAATGGGAAGACATTAAATAAATAAAGGTCGACAAAAGCCAACCATGGCTTTTGCTAATACAAAAAAAATTATAGAAATTATATTTCTCGATTTCAGCATCCCTGGATGCTGAAATAAGCATGTAATGATTGATGTGATATATGGGAATAAATTAGTAATAGATCAGTGACGCATAAATTAGTTAAATAAATGATGCATTAATTAGAGCAGTGCATAAGAAATGTCATAATAAGGTTTATAGAAAATGGCATGGTTAATAATTTAATTAGAGTCAAATGTGCATGATCTAAAAGTAGAAGCAAAAATAATAAAATTTTCAAATAAAGTGCTTTCTTTTCGTAAGTAATACACTTGGAATGTACTATTTAAGATACTTATTCTATTTGACCCTGTGGTGGTCAACATAATACAGTGTACTCAATATTTGAGTTGGAAATTTAAAGATAGGTGACGAAACTATTTCACGATTGTCAAAATGGTTTTGTCAATGGTTTCATCTGATGATACTTCAATGATTGATACAATTGACAAAACTATTGATAATTGACAAACCCACTGATGATTGACAAAATTACTGATGAAACTATTGATAAAACTTTTGATGAATCTATAAAACAAAAAGATCAATTCATAATATAGATGGATGCCGAATTTCAATAAGGAAATTAAAATAATAATTAATATTGTTGCAATTTCCTTTTTGGAATTTTGGCACCCATGTGGATTAGTTAATGCTATATTATTTCTGTTGGAATCTAATCGACATTTCTGTTTTAAAACTTTTCTTATTCCGTATTACTCACTAACTGTCGTAATATAAAGTATTGTATTGTATGTGGATTGGTTAATGTTATATTATTTGTGTTGGAATATAATCGACATTTCTGATTTAAAAGTTCTCTATTATTCCGTATTACTTACACTAGAGGTGCGATCCGTAAACTATTCGTGTATTATATGAATTCAAAGTTTTTAGTTAGTACGTGTACAAAATCCATAATACTGTATTATTATCGTTATATCGATATCGTTTATATGTAATAAATAAAAGATTTTGATTGGCCAGTTGGCACATGATCTGCAAAGTGACCAATCATGGCGCGATATTCAATTGACGTGATCAAAAAGTTATCCTATATGATCTTCAAAAATCAGCCAATCATAATAAAGCCCCGCTATGCTACTGTAGAGTGAAGTAACCAGAAACTTTTTCGTCCAAACCTATATTTTATTACGTTATATTTAAATAAACTTTATTTCTAACTGTTTAATTTGAATAGGTACAAGCTCTTTAGCAAAGAAGATCCGGGCTTAATATTTAAATTTGGTCGGTTCTCGTAGTATGTTTGAGTTTGTCAACCGTTAAAGGTTTAATTTATATATTGTATGGTAGATTTTTTAATGAGTTTGGGTTTATTAGTAATAAATATCATATTTACCCGCTTTACGCATATCTATCTATTCTCTACATATAAATAATAAATTATTTCGCGTGTATTTATTAGTTTGTAAGCTTCTTTATGTGAAGTTTCTTTCGTTTTCTAGTGACGTAGTATTAATTAAAAATTATGTATTAATTGGTTAATTATCACGGGAAATCATGGGTGATCTAATAAATTAACCAATCATATGAATGTCTCCCTAATTAGCCAATTAAAATGCAAAATTTTGTATTATGTTACACTAAATTCAGCAGCCCTGAAATTTGATTGGCTAATTTGGGATAGACTGCAGTGCGGATGCGCAAAAAACATTTTCACTTTTAATTTACGGTAATATAAATTTATGTTTAGTAGAGATTGGTGTTTAAACACTTTTGATTAGTCGATCCAAAAGCATCCCTCTACAATTACTTGTAAAGAATCCGGGGAACAATTACTTATAATGTAGATCTTATTTATTCCTTGTACAAATGTCACTTGTTTTAAAAAAATAAAACATATATACAGAATGTTAAAGCAAAATATCAGAATGTTATTTACTGTATCTCATACCCAACCAAAACCTCGATATAAGAATCTGATAGCTCATATTGTCACATTTACTCGATCAGTTGTATGCTAAAAATATGCCAGATGTGATCAGTATTTATCGATCACTATACCCATAAGACTGCACATGATGTAGATACATTGTTCCAGCACTGTTCGATCTGTTCATGTATTCATGTCTTCAGATATTACAATACTTTTAACCCAATTTTTTTTATCTCAATATATGCTAAAAGCATTACTCAAGTCATTAAAATAGAAGTTCTGAATTGCGCCTTCTATTTTAATGTCTCGAAATCAAAAATCACATTTAAACTCAAAACCTTTGATTTTGAAACTTTTTCCAAATTTTTAATTACTTCCGAATCAAATTTTGTAAAGTTAGAGCTTAAGTCGACTTTTTTGAGAGAATTGTTAATTTCCAAAGATTTAACTAAAAGCTTTCCTACTTCAGAATCTAGGTTATTATTGCTTAAGTCTAATTCAATAAGTGTTGTATTTATCTCTAAAGCCTTAACCAAAGCTATTCCAGTTTCAGGTTCAATTATGGTTGATTTTAAGCTCAGGTGTGTAAGTGTATTATTTAGTCTTAAAGCTCCCGCCAGGGCTTCTCCTGCTTTTAAGTTAAATTCATTATAGTTTAGATTTAGTTTTGTAAGAGCATTATTGGTTTCTAGAATTTCTGCCAAGATTATCTCTGCATCAAAACTCATGTTATTGTAACTTAGATCTAAGTGAGTAAGAGTTTTATTATATTTTAAAGCTTTTTCTAAAGCCTTTACTACTTCAAAGCTAATATTACATTTAATTAATTTTAGTCTCTTAAGAGTTTTGTTTTTGTTTAAAGATTCCTCTAGTTTTTTTCCATTTTGTAAATTTATATAACTGTGGCTTAAATCTAATCTTTCGAGAGTTGTATTAGTTTCTAAAGCTTCAATCAATAACTTACTTTCTTTAGGATCTATATCATTATGGCTTAAATCTAACTTATGAAGGCAAATTTTATTAAATTTTAGTTCTTGCGCTAAATTTATTACTGTTTTTGGTCCAATTCTAGTTGATCCTAAATTTATGGTAGTAAGAGCTTTATTTGTTTTTAAAATTCCTGCTAATCTCTCTCCCGCTTCAGAGCCAATATTATTTTTGCTTAAATTCAGTTTACGTAGAGTTTTATTGTGCTTTAGCGCATCTATTAAAGTTTTTCCCGCTTCTGAACTAATATTATTTGAACTTATATTTAAATCAATAAGGGTTTTGTTTTTTTCTAAAGCTATCTTAAAGTGCTTTCCTGTTACACAATTAATTATATTCTCTTCACGAGTTAAGTTTGAAAAACTTTTTTGTAGGTGATCTTTTAAACTTCTTTCTTCAAACGATCCAATTTTGTTTAAACTCAAGTTTAAACTAACGAGGGTTTTGTTTGTTTCTAATGCTTTTGCTAAAGCTATTTCTGCTCGAAATTCAGGATTGATAGAACATAAGTTCAAGTGGGTAAGTTTACTGTTTGATTCTAAGGCTTTAGCCAATGCCATTATTACTTCAGTTTCAAGGTTGTTAAAACTTAAATCCAGATTAACAAGAGATTTATTCTTTTCTAAGACAGTTACCAAAGCTTTTCCGAAAGATAAATCAATATCATTATTGCTTAAATTTAATTTTGAGAGAGTTTCATTATTTTCTAAAACTTTTGTTAGCGTCATTCCTGCTTTACTATTAAGCTTTATATGGCTTAAATCAAGGTCATTAAGAGGAATTTTACTTTTTAAGATTTTTACCAAATCTATTACGGTTTCCGACTTAATTTTAGTAGATTTTAAATTTAATTGAGTGAGTGTAGTGTTTGTTTGCAGTGCTTCCACAAGGGCCTTTCCCATTTCTATATTAATATTATTATAACTTAAGTCCAAATTTGTGACCTTGTTTCTTTTTAAAGCATTCAATAAAGTTTTTCCTACTTCAGAATCAAGCTTATTATAGCTTAAATTAATTATATTTTTCATGTCACCACTTTGTCTAATACTTTGTCCTAATGCCTGCAAATGACTTATTGGCACGATCAAGTTAGTGCCAATATTATCGCCTTCAGTCTTATCTTTTAAAAAAAGAATACACCATTGAAATGAATATTCTAATTCAACACTTGCGTTAGAAGTTTCGTCGCTATAGTCATCATTACTCGAAACTTCACTCTTAAAAGTAGTTTCCACATTCGTAAATTTATCTTCATTATCCATTATTTTACTCGAAATTTCACTCTTAAAAGTAGTTTCCACATCCGTAAATTTATCTTCATTATCCATTATTTTACTCGAAATTTCACTCTTAAAAGTAGTTTCCACATCCGTAAATTTATCTTCATTATCCATTATTTTGCTCTCCTTAATATGAATAGTAACATCAATTCCCTCATCATCATAATTTTTAATTTCGGCCCTAAAACATGGCTCGTAGTTCAATTGAGGAAATACAAATGACGTAATAAAAATTGAATCTGATGGTAAGCTTTTGGGAACTGGTAATCGATTTACATCGTAAGTATTACAGCCCATTTTTGGAACAAATGTATAGTTATCTAAACATAAAATGGAGATATTTTGTGTATCTGGACAATAGATGCCAATTTCAGACGGTACACCAATTAATATCCAAATTATTTGCAAATTTTCAATGTTCACCTCACTAAAAAATTAAAAACCAATAATGGAATTAGAAATTAATTATAGGCAATGGAATAGGCCAATAAATACATACAAACTAGTATTAAAACTCTCAATGGTAGCTGAGAAACCATATATATTCATAGATTTAAACTTAACTACGATATTATTGATTGGGATACCATCTTGTGTCATAATTTTTCCATAAAGCTGATAATTATTCGATTCAAGATGATTAGAAAAGTTCACTCGATAGTAGTTTATCGAATTTTTAACGGGAATTACACCTGTCATGAGAACTTTTGCTTTAATCATAGAATTAATTGTCTGATCATCGTTTCCAAGAACTAATTTGATTTCTTGACAAAGAGGCTTTTCTAATATTTCATAGAGTGGATATAAACTTTTCCAGCTGATGATATTTAACGAATTGTAATCGTCTTTTAAACAATTATTTGCCCATTCTTTAATCTTATCTCTCGTAACTATATCACCATCAATTGAAATTAAATAAGATGAATTAAAGTTGTATGATTTTATGTGATCTTCCCATTTGTTAAAGAATTCTTCATATTTTACTGATGAAAAATCATCTATTGTCCATTCATCATTCCTAACATTTGATTCTGATGAATCTTTATCTGTGATTAAATTCGACATTACATACAATTTATATCCAAGTATAACTCTCTCGGGCAGAAAATATCCATAAGTATTAAATACTTTCATCAATTCTCGGTAAGGATTCTGGTGATTTAATGCGCTTTTAATAGCAATGACTAATTTTTCAGAGGGTTTTATTAGCTCTTTCCTGAAAATCAATTCAACCTGTGGACTTTGTATTTCTAAATAAACATCCTTTACAACAGAATTATTTTTAAGAGGATTTGCATCATTCATCCATTCGAGATATTTTGTATTAATGGCAGGTGAATCGATATGGTTTTCTAACAAAAAGGAATCTTTATATTCTGAAGAAAGCACTAATTTTGCTTGAAATTTTCGAGAATGCAATTCAGTGATATTTGGTTGAGTTTTAAATATACATGCTGAAAAATCTGAAGGCCGTATTTTTTTCGTGTTAATAATTAAGCCATGATTTAAATTTACATTTCTCGTCAAATTGAATACATCTATAAAATTTGAGAGTTGATTAGATCTTTCATGTCTTAATTTATTCTCCAATTCTAAAAGTTTGAAAGAGACTTCATCCATTTTAATCCTTTCTTCTGCCTTATGCTTCCATCCTTCAAAAGTAGAAAGTTGTTGTATGTATAGAAATATTATTAATAAATAATAATTAATTTATTTTATTATCATGAACTAACATCGAATACGTATAATTCCGAATTAAAATAGAATAGTGGTAAATCAGGTGATTGTGACCCAATCAACGATCAACAAACTTAACATATAAAATTTTGTATGTTGACATTCTGGCTGCATTATGAAGTTCAGAACGATCATAAATCACCTGATCGCGAATTTCCACTATTTTACCTTTTGACGATATAAAAAAATAATTAAACTATATATAAGTACCTTCTTGAATAATTTTTATATATTCTTCTGGAAAGTTAGAACTTTCTATGTTTAAATCCTCCCTACCACCTTTAGTAACATGAGAAATAATCTCATCATTACTCTTTTTTTTATAAGGAATCTTTTGATAAGCCAACTTCCATAAAAGCATTACGAAACTATAACATATTAATATTGTTAATGAAACTTGATGAATACTATAATAAAAATAACAAACTAGAAAGTGAATTACCTAAAAATTTCACATTCCTACGTATAATAAGCATTTTCTTGCATTATTTCTGGAGCTGCCCAATTGAGGTTATCTGTATCCACAGTTAAAGCATTTTTTACAAAATAAAAATTTGCGATCTTCGGTTCCATATGATGGGTCATCTATAATAAATCATAACGATATGCATTAATAGTGTTATAATTCTGAATTGAATTTAAAAAAATAACCTACCATAATATTTTCACATCGAATATCTCGATGAAACACATTAATAAATCTCAAAAATGATAAACCTCGACAAATATCAAGTGCTATTTTTACTTTTAAGTCCCATGAAATTAAATGACTTTCGTAAACTTCTTTTAAGCTACCCAATCTGGTCCATTCAAAAACCATCACTTCACAACCACTAATTTCTGAAATCCCATAAAATTTAAGAATATTTGGGCTTTCAAACGATTGTGCTAAAATACCTATATTCGGCTCAGAAATAGTAAAGGATTCACACGCCACTTCAATGCTATTTTTATAAATTTGTTTTTTCTTTCTTACTTGTATGTGGTTATCTGGACTGCTTATATTAGAGGGATCACTCAATAGGGTTGGTTCAATACTTGGGAATCGAATCTTGTCAGATTCATGGAGTGGTGGAATAAGTTGATTCTGAATTAATTCACGAACTTTGATTATATCTTTGTTTATATTAATATTTGAAATGTCTTTCAAAATCTACATGAAGATTAATTTTTGATTAGATAAAATATTCAATATCTATTGTATTTAAATAACATTGTACCTCATCCATCATTTTCAAATTGTTATAATCCCTTTCGTATTTGTTATTTATGATAATAAATATTATTGTATTCAATTCTATTTCGTAAAAACTTTTATAATTTTTGAGAGAATCTTCAACCTTCTTTCTTATAGGTTGTGCATATATAAATTTTTCAAAACGCGAGCCATTTTTTATCTTAATCAATTCAGATGCATTATTTTTAACTTTCTCTAATAAAAGTTTGTATTTATAGAAAGTACTTTGGTGTTGTGAAAAATTTGCTTCAATTTCGCGTTTCATTTGCTGCAAAATTTTCACGTTTTCAGCCGATTTAAGAATTGATTCAAAAATATTTTTGTTTTGTAGCTGTCCACAGATCCGTTCAATTTCATTAATTAATTTGGAACTCGCTTCAATACATGCTGAAATTCCTTCTAGCCTTTCTGACAATTGTTGTTGGTCCATAGTAGAATATGCTTTAATATACTACAGTAATCGTTATAAAAATTTGTAATAAGATTTTATAAAGTACCAATTTTGTTATTTTTATAAATGTGATTTTGTAAATTGATTTGAATCCTTTATAAAATTATCGCTGTTTTCGAAATGGTTGAAAATGACAAATAAATTTTTTTTTTTTAGCGTACACTCGTACACTCATACATTCGTATACTCGATTACCTTAGCACGTTGATTGAACAATTACACATCAATCTTCAATCAATGTGCTAAGGTAATCGAGTGTACGAGTGTACTAAAAAAGAAAATTATTTGCCATTTTCAATCACTTTGAAAACAGCGATAAATAACGTTATTGCAATGATGTACATATTGCTTTAAGTTTCTAGGGTCATAATATTTTTTGGAATAATTGTGAGACGTATATACGTACGTACACGTACGTACGGTGCAAGAAATCAATTTTCTTAAAGAGACAAGCATAAACAAGTTATTTCCTAAAATACTTTATTGAAGCCGATAATTTAAGAAATATTTGATTTCAAATGTGTTGCTTAATTATACCTACTTAATTATGCGTTACATTAACTCTGAAAAGATCTGCCCGGTGCATAATCAAGTAGCACATTGAAATCAAATCTTTCTTAAATTATGTACACACTTTATTGATGCTAATAATTTAGTATTTTATCTTTACAAGGAGTGATTGTGGTTCTATATTTCTTGCACCTTACATGTACGGTGCAAGCAAAAATAAACTAGCATTAGAACACGTACGTTCTGTACTTTATACATTTAGTTAAATGATATGACGTGATCTGCGTGTTGTATTACCAAGTTAGTAGTACGTTGAACTGACCAATCAGATTGTTTAAAGCGTACAGATGGACAGACATTAAAATTTTAATATATCGATATATAGATATTGAAATCAAATCTTTCTAAATCATTAATATCAATAAAGTTTGTGCTACTTGATTATCTGCTTGGCGTAATTTGTAGTAGACCTGTCCAAATTTCTATATAAGAATATCTAATTTTAAAAGCTTGATTTTTGTCAGGTGTTACTTCATAGCTACTTAGATGATTCTCCCTGTAGGTGATGTTAAAAAATGGTTGATTTTACGTATCTTGGTAATACTCGTATACGATTTTGTGATAACACAAGTATTTGAAACAGGTATCGTCCGCAAAAAAAATTATGGTTTGTTCTATTATTTTGATAATGTCCCAATCAATTAGAGTTCATAATATATTTCATCAGTGCGCAAAATTGTGCTGAATGTAACCTGCGCTTTTTTCTATCAATTTCATTTTAAGATTTTAAGTTGAACATTAGAAATTCATAGCCAATGAAGTTTGTCAAATAAACGAAAAATTCAGATCGCGTTGGAATTTTATCTTAACCAAACGGAATTTCCGATGTTTGCAATAGAATTGGTGCACTGCATACATGTTAATATATATGTCATTTTATAGATCTTTATTTATGCGGTGAAATACCTATTTTGTTATCGCTAATTATCTTTTTTTGACTCAGTAACAGGAAAATAGCTCTTAAATCAATCACCTCAATATATTTAATATACTAAACATTACAAAGCTGAATATTTTTCTGCTAATCGTCCAGAAATAAGATCAATTCTCAACCAGAAACTTTGATATCTTGTAAATATATCAATGGTTCATACGTATGTACATATAGTTTGTATGTGTTCATCTTACTTGATAGCACATTACTTTAATAAACTTTAAATATTTCGAATATATACGTTGATATAAAAGGTAATCTTTTAACACAGATTTTAAAATTATTGTCTTCCAATGATAATATGCATAATTCGTGAGATTCACTTATATTAGGCGATTTACGGATTTTTCCGATATTCTCCCTCACTAGCTATAAATATGTGTGAATCTTTTGTAGCAAATATATATAATTTTACAAATCAGGTACGTAGTACGTCAGATTAAAATCACCCAGTAAACCTTATAACATCGGGTAATGCAATGTGGTTTTTTTCCTGTGTTTTTTCCTGTGTCGTGGCCTGGGAGAGTTTTTCTACACAACGCCAATTTAATGCAGGGCCGCTAACATAAATTTTGGGTATTTAACGATAATTATAGGTTTTATATGTACGCGATTTATTATTATTCAAGCAAGGGTAGAGAGAAAAATAAATGTGCCTTTATATTTCCAAAGAGAACTATCGATCAATGACCCTTTATATAGTTCTATTAACCCTCCAATTACTAATAAACATATTACTCAAGAAAAATGTAATAATAAAAAAATTTATTATGAAAAATTTCATAATACCTGACCGGAATTTAGAAACCATAGTCGGAAGTATTATTATAAATGACGAAAATTTTCCGTCTGTTGAAAAGAAATTGTCTTGCGTAGACGGAAAACTCCGGCATTTTACAATAAGTTTTGTGCTCTGATGATAATGCAAATAAAATGCTTTTAATAATTAGGCAGGAATGAATTATTTCTGTAGTAAATACGCACATATACGTAGAATAAACTATTTTATAAAGTACACATGCATTTGTAAACGTAAGTCACTAAATTAAATTTATAGCACTGCTTTAAAGCCTTCACCGTGCATTTAAAATATCTTATGTAATTTGTGTATATTTTCCCTTGTAACCATAACATTCATCTGTATAGCTATATAAATTTCCATATTTAACAATAAGGTTTGAGTTTATAGTGCATGAAGTTTATCAAACCATAAACAAGAATAAAAGTCATTATAAAAGGGTTGAAGCTTTTAATATCATATCAATTCATTAAGAATTATTAATACATTCGTGCTCCAAAATTAGGTATAAATTAAATAAACCGTAAATACGTACACAACTTTCCACCTTCATAGTCAAAGATATGGATACAGTAGGTAAAATGTTATGGAAAATTTTTTCTACCGGTAATAATGAACCAGATGATCAAGAATTTATGATAACTGTCAAAGTCCACAATAAAGCATCACTATCATTTAAATTATTATTACCTAACAAGAATCTTGCAGAAATCCGAAATCTGCTTATGAAAAGAAATGTTACTTTCAGGATGGGGACAAATTGTTATTTTTCAAACGAATTTCATATAATTCCACGTGAAGATGAGATTAATTATAAATTGAAAGACATTTTACAAGAAAACATTTTGAATATCATTCCAACATCTGACCCTGATTGGTCACAACTGATCGATATGTGTGATCATGGATTTAAAATTGGAGAGAATGGCGTCGAAAAAGCGCGTAACAAAGCATTTGAGATAGATACAAATAAAATCGTCTCAGAATCAAAAATAACCGAAATAAG